GTTTCATACCCTTTGTGGCAATCAAACAGGAGGTGTTAAGATGTTCAAACACCAAACTGAAACGTTTGCGCGGAATCGCGTCTGCATTAACCACACATACTTGCGGTGAACGTTCAAACAAAATATGCTCCGGTAACAACCCATACTCTAATCAAATACGCATTGTCTTTAATCAAAGTGATTGGTCTACTACACCAGAGACGGCAGCCTTCTTTAGAGCCTCGTCTCGCCACCAGTGCCAGACCAGAGAACGCCAAAAGGCGAACACCACAAAGGCAATGCACTATCACAGCATCCAAAGCACGGGTGAGCAGCTATTTCATTCACAGCTCAACCCGAGCGATACATGCTCTGGTAATATACTGTACATACAGGGGCGGAGCCAGGGGGGGTGACAGGGTAGACAATTGTCACCCCCGAAAAAAATATAAAAAATCGAAAATCTGAAACATTCTGCGTATAAGTGTACGACACTCGGTCTGGTGGACTCCGTGAAACTGCATTGTCAGAGTGTGTCGCCAACCGATGGCGTCTGGTTCAACAGCCTGACTCTCTAATCATTCTTGAAATTAAAATTTGTTGAATGTCACCCCGGGCTGAAAATCCTGTCTCCGCCCCTGTGTACATATATTATATAATAGATGCATATATTATTTAATATATGCATCTATCATCAGAGCATGTTTGCATCGTTAATGCAGACTTGATTCGCTGCAAAATGGATCTTATTTGATGTGTGAACATCGTTAACACCTCCTGTTTTATAGCCACAAAGGAGGCCGAGCGTAATTCGTATTTTTCATACTGTGATACTTCCAGAGAGAAAGGTGTCCCCACCACGAGGAGGCTACGGCGGGTCCCGCGTGCCTCGCAGGAGAATCACGACAGAGGGCTCTGCCCATTGAACGCGTTGCGTCCTCGGTGTGCACCTGGGGGGGGCTGGGAGGCTGGGGGGTGGGGGGCGCTCACTGCAACAGTCTCCACCAATTCCCCGACCGGTCACCGTAGAGCCGTGTGTTCCTTAACGGGCGCCTTTATTTGCTTTGATTGATTATTTTATTTTTCTTCTCCCAGTGGGAAATCTCAAGAAGGCTGCGTCATCCCTGGCTGAAGACTTGCCAAAAGTTGGCAGGAGGGTGGAGGGAGGCGGGGGGGGGGCTAGAACGCTGGTCGTGTGTGCCACCCAGCACGGCTTCTGTGTCCTGGGCCTCTGTGGCATATACAACACCTCCCCCAGGTCGACTCAGCCTCAAATGAGGAGCTGGTGCGGTGCGCGAATATCGCCGCTAGGCGGCCGGGCGTGGTGCTGGCCACCCACCCCCTCGTGTGCCGTGCCGGCCTTTATAGGTGCTCGCTAACAGCACTTGCCACAAATCGTATGTTAAGGCTATACGGGGCATCTTTGTCTCTGTCTCGTGGCACGGACCCTGCCGTTCAGATGTCATATCGCTTATAAAATAGCGTACTCGAATTGCCATTCGCAATCATACGTAATAATGGATCATACAAATCATGAGTTGTGCCGGAGTCTCTCCGAGATGTTGTTGGTCAATGTTGAAAGAAAAACAAAAACCACGTGCATCTCATCTCCATCGATATTTGAAAGGAGACACCCCCGGTGACAGCTGTCCCTCTGCATTGCACAACGTGACCTCGAGCAGAGCATACGTCTGCCAGCATGATTTCGTACGGTTGCCATTCACGACTTTATTGTAGCGCAAGGCAAGCAGGAAGGGAGCAGGCGCTGCTCTGTGGCACGCGGTCTGTAGCAGCCTCGCAGTAGGGGGAGAGGATCGCTGCTCCGCGTGTGATCCCAAATGCGTAACTTGCGGTGTGGTCTTGATTTGAAGCTTTCGTGACTGCAGGAATCCATACTCTTTGGTTCTTTCGGTAAAGTCACGTAGGTTAGAAATAAATCAAACAAATCACGACGTTTCGATCGCAACACACATGACGAGGATCGCTTGTGTTGCCATAGAAACGTCGTGATTTGTTTTATTTTATTTCTAGCTACGTGACTTTACCGAAAGAACCAAATAGTCGTGGTGTGATGTTTCACATTTTCCAAAACGTGGCCCGTTTTGAATGACTTCACGGGATCTTTGGGCATCCACTACAAAACAGACGGCGCATGGCAGTATTGTAGTCGCTACCAGCAGGACTAGTCGTATTTTTTCAAGGTTGATGCAACGCACACCGAAGTGTTAACCAGGCCGACCTGCCGGATTCGAACCGCGAACCTCTGCAACAATACACCGCCTCACCTCCCCCCCCCCCCCAAAACATCGCTTTTTAATCACGGAACGACGTGATTCTCCTCGGTGACTTCCACACCCGGTGTGAAGGTTTTCTGTTCGTTTTTTTTTCTCGCCAAGGGCAACCACTCGCCTCCCACTAGCGGCCTTTAATCAATTATTTCGGAACTTAATTTGGAAGGCCAGTGTATTCACGACAGCATCCATTACGAGCAGAAGCCGTAATTAAGTTCGTGCCATTATTATGTTTTGCGCAGGGACTCGCGTCAAATTGCAATCGGCGTTGGCGCGTCATTGCACCGCATGGAGGTTAAGACTCGTTAGTGGGAGCAGCGAGGTATCGGGTGAATCCTAATCGCGTTCACCGTTATCCTCGCACCGACGCCAGTTCACCCGCACCATTACAACTGCAAGCATGGTCATCATCATCATCGTCATCATCGTCGTCGTCGTCGCAGTGGTTGACGCTCGTGTCTCGAAGCAAGAAGGGCCTGAGTTCGATTCCGGACTCGGGCGTTCGAGCGCTCGCTCTATCCCTGCTCCACGTGACTTTCCTCCTGGTTCTCCGCTTTCATCCCAAGGCTAAAATAAGAACAACAAACGATACAATGTAACCGATGCTGGCAAATACATCTCAACGCTGTCACAAAAAAAAAAACGTATCCCTGAAAATTACTCAGTTGGGATCACACACCACACTGCAACGGCGACGTGGCATCACCCTCCTGAAACCTTTGAGGCTCGGTGAGGCCTTTCTGGGTAAACGTAGTCAATTATAATAATAATAATAATAATAGTAAAATAATTCCTTAGACATTCAACGATCCATCGATTCACGCATTAAAATCGATCGCTATTCACACGCTCGGTGCATCCAAATGTCCACGTAAGAATGTTCAACGAACCATCGACGTGACTTTACCGAGAGACCCAAGAATATGAATTCCTGCAGTCACGAAAGCTTTAAGTCAAGATTTAGTTTTAGTTGGCTGTGTTTAAGGAGCGTGAGAACTCAAGCGATAAGGGTAGATGCATCGCATGTGCCAGAGCGACTTGGGCCACCACAAACGATTGTAACAATGAAGCAAATAGCGATCAGCTCACAAAACACAACCGATTAGAGATCAGATGAATATTGATATTGTACAGCTCCACTGGGGATTCTAACCCAGGATCTCCTGTTTAATGTCATTTTTGAAACTCATAGTTTTCCGGTCTGCACTACTGAATTGTTATTCTGTTATGATGAGTTTTCCTCATCATTAATTTACAGATTTGATAACCAAAAAAACAAAGATAAAGATCCCCGTATAGCCTTAACATAATATTTGGGGCCAGTGCTGTTGGCGAACACCTCTGAAGGCTGGCATGCCACACGAGGGGGTGGGTGGCCAGCACCACGCTCGGCCGTCTTTGTCTCCCGAGTGGCGATGCCTACTACACACCGCACCAGGTTCTCATTTGAAGCTTAACCGACTAAGGGGAGGAGCAGGAACGGTTCAGATATTCGTCACTTGTGCTGGTGGCAGTGAGCGGGAATGGAACTGTGGTCGTAGCCGGGTTCGTAGTGGAGCGCGCTAACCACTGCACCACCGCTCCCCATTTGATAAACAGACAAGCCCACACACACACAGCAGAACCGCCTATACAATTGGTCAATAATAATAATCATAATCTTTATTTATAGAGTGCCTTTCATTCTAAAAGGCTCAAGGCACTTCACACAACGTTACGGAAAAACAAACATTTACGAAGACAAATGTTGTGCAAACGTCTCATGAAGTATATTTAAAATACAAAATACATGAAAGAGGAGAGAAAGCAAACAGAATAGTAAGGCAATCTTGAGACGCTGGAATAAAAGTCGCAAGGGTAAACTTATGAACATAGCCAGAGCGGGGATTACAAAACTACATTTTCTACGTTTTCTGAATTAAACAAATGATATATCTGGCGATGCTGCTGCTGAATTGGCAGTTGTGCATAAGCATAGCCAACAATAACACTGTGACCTTAACAAATAAAACAATGATATAATAGGGGACGTTTCAGGCAACGACCGCCCCTTCACTGCACGTACATCATGCTAGTGTCGTATGCAGCATGACGCTATGAAGGGCCTTTGCCCGAAACGTCGCCAATTATATATGTTGTTCATATCAAGGCCACACACGCACGCGCGCGCACAGGCAGACAAACGGTGTCCTCGACTGTAACACTGAGTTCGCTTTCTTCGCTAGGATGGTCGAGGGGGCCGCTTTTAATGACCATAGCTAAAATACGGAAAATAAAAATAACACAAATTCAACTCAATGAACGCATTTGCGGGAGCAATCAAAAACTCATCGACTTTGAAATCCAATCAAATGCCCTTGCAACGCAGGTTGGATTGGGTCAATTTACTTTTATTGGTGCCAAGCACGGCAAGCCCTCGCTTAACACGGTTTCTCTCAGGAGCGCACCCACTGCTCCCGCGTTAAACGAGGACTTTACTCTCCACAATGTCGTCCGTACCCGCGTGCCCCTTCAATGCCGCTGAAGTCCTGTGGACACAGATCCTCTTGGCGTTCCCAGGTCACAGGGAGGACTTGGCACGAGATGTTTCACGCGTGACCCACAGACTCTGGACCTCTGTCCGGCGGGATCTCAGCATCTCCGAGTCTGTGGGCATTTTTCATAGATCGTCTCTAATCTTATCCACACGCTTTTCTCTCCAAAAATCTCTCCCCGCTCTTCGCCCAACAGGTTCCCATGGCGTCCCGCGACGGGCTCATCGTCCTCATCCTGCTGCACGGCATTCTGGGGAAGCACTGCACCGTGGGTAAATCCTCGCTGCCGCCATCCTCCCCGGGCGTGCCGCGGCTGCTCCACGGCAACGGCGACCTCGGTAACCAAGGCAACGGCGGCGACCACGGTGACCGCGGCAACGGCGACCTCGGTAAGCAAGGCAACGGCGGCGACCACGGTGACCGCGGCAACGGCGACCAAGGTAACCACGGCAACGGGGACCAAGGCGACCACGGTGGCCACGGCAACGGCGACCACGGTGGCCACGGCAACGGCGACCAAGGTGGCCACGGCAACGGCGACCACGGTGACCACGGCAACGGCGACCACGGTGACCACGGCAACGGCGACCGCGGTAACGGCGACCACGGTGACCACGGCAACGGCGACCAAGGTGGCCACGGCAACGGCGACCAAGGTGGCCACGGCAACGTCAACCGAGATGGACCGCCGGCTCGGCACGATTCTTCTTCTGCCGGCACTGGTGCCCGAGCCAAACGGCACGAAGCGTCCGAGTCCACGGGATCACCCCGTGACGGAGCCGGCGGCGGTGCCAATAGAGGAGGGGGAGGAGGAGGTTCGACGCCCGGTTCGTTCAAGGAGGTGATCGACGTGGATGACAGCTTCGAGCAGCTCGGAGGGAACTGCTGCGACTGCTTCACCCTGCTGGAAGGGGCGCAGGGCAGGAAGGGAGAGAGGGGCGACAGAGGTACGGTGGTGGTTGATGGTGGTGGTGGTGGTAGTGTCGGGAGCGGTGGTGCAGCGGTTAGCGCGCTGCACTACGAACCTGGCGTACCGAGTTCGATTCCCGCTCACGGCCAACACCAGTGACGATTATCTGAGCCGGTCCTGGGCCTCCCCTAGGTCGACTCAGCCTCAAATGAGTACCTAGTACGATGTGTAAACACTGCCACTAGGGAGACAAAGGCGGCCGTGTGTGATACTGGTCACCCACCCTTTCGTGTGCCGTTCTGGCCTTCATAGGTGCTCGCTAACAGCACGTGCCCCAACCGTCTGGTATAGGCTTTGGTGGCGGTGGTGGTGATGAGTGGTGGTGATGAGTGGTGGTGATCAGCGGTGGTGATCAGTGGTGGTGATCAAGTGGTGGTGATCAGTGGTGGTGATCAGTTGGGCGCTGTAGACGGAACCAGTTGGTACCTCGAACTAGTTCAGGTATCGCTCGCCATTGATGTTAGCAGTGAGTGGGAATCAAAGTCATCGGGCACTGCACCACTCCTGTACTGTTTATTGTCGCAGTAAGTTTGGCGAATATAAATTTCAAACGTAATTTTATATATATACACAAGAAAGAAAAGCTCTAACACTGTGTGATGGAGCGACTACTTTGTCAAAAATAAAAAAGCTAAATTGCCATTCATACATTATTTATTCTTACAGGAACTTTCGCTGCGTGAAGGCTCCTGTGGAATCCTAAATGTACTGCGCGCATGCTACATGGGAGCTGGGGGGGGGGGGGTTCTTCCCCTTTCTCCTGCAGCCTGAATTTAAATGCCACTTCTTTAGTGCTTCACAACACCGCTCTCCCTCCTGAGCCATCACAGACTCGCCACTGGCATATCGCGCGGCGAAATGAAAGCGGGCGAGTTCCATGAGTGGCATTTTATACAAATACGAGGGGGTCGGTGACAGCAGCACGCCCGGCCGCCTTTGTCTCCCCAGTGGCGATGTTCACACACCACAGCGGTTACTCGTTTGAGGCTGAGTCGACCTAGGGGAGGCCCGGTGGTGGCCGTGAGCGGGAATCGAACTCGGGTCGCCGGGTTCGGAGCGAGGCGCGCTAACCACTACACTACAATGCGTTACGCTTCCACATGCACGGGTCACGTGACAGATTTGACGTCACAGCTCACTTGCCGTGCTAAAAATAAATGCATTATTGAGCCCCCCCCCCCACCCAAAAAAAAGTGTATTTTTATAATTTTTGCATAGTGTACAGTCTGGAAAGTACCCACATGGCAAATTTCAAGTTATTTGCTTGTTGGGAAGTACACTAAACATTTTGAACAGACACACATTCACAACTTTGCCTTTTATATATATGGAGATTAGGGGTAGCGAGTTTTGCTGGCTGGATTCACGGCTGCCTGGCTGGCACCTGGAGGGTAGGGCAGGGTGGAGGGAGGGGGGTTGTGTGTTCCCAGCAGGTTTGGGGGTACGCTGGAGGGGTGCACAAGGGAGGTGGAGTCCCAGTCGGGGGTCGGAGAGGGGTACCCCTCGTCGCACCGTCGCTTGAAGAGGGGTGCTTCCACAAGGCACGGTCACAATGACAATGCAGGCCTTTGTCAATCCACTGCTGGATGAGAGCCTTCCTGGGCAGCACGGGTTCTTGGGGATTTGTTCGACCGAGACCATTTCTCACCACACTGGTCAGCGTAGATTGGTGGTGGAGTGGAGGTGTTCTGGAGGGGGAATCCGGGTCCCGGTGAGGATATCACTCGCCACTGATGCTGGCCGTCGCCAGGTGGCTGTGATGTGACGCGTGCACTCGCGCGTTCCCCTGCTCCGTGCCGTCAGGGTTGCCCGGCGAGAAGGGCGAAGTTGGACACCAGGGGGAGCCCGGATTGGCCGCCCCCCCTGGAGCAGCTGGGCCCAAGGGTGAGACAGGTAATGCACAGACGGGTGGCTCACACTCGACAAGGAAGAACAACCAGGCAGACGCCTCACTCGCGCACAAACTCACTCACCCACCCACCCACAGACAACAACAACAACAACGGCATTCGCCACTAAGCGGCGGTGACGTCGCCACGGCGCTCGTGCCAGGCTACGTGCACGTTGAAGCCACGTGTAAGCGTCGAACGCCCGCCGGCAGGAGGTCACGGGGCAGACCCAGCAGGTGCCACGGGTCGACTGACTGCGATGAGCACCCACGGCCGGTGAGCGAGTGACCACAGTAACCACAGTAACCACAGTGAGCACAGTGAGCGCGAGTGCTGCGTGGACACAGCTTGCCTGCGAATCACCCCTCGCTGCCTTACCAACCTGGGGCAGATCGCAGGGCTCCCTCGGCAGCACGCGCAGCGGTGTCGGGGCCAAGCGCTGCCGTCCGATCGCGACGCTGATGCCGGTTTACTCAGAGCTCCGGCTATCAGAGAAGTACGGGCGAATCGGGGCAATCGCCCCGGGCCCCCCGCAGTTTGGGGGGGGGGGGCGTCTCCGCGCTGTCTCAGATGTCATACTCTCGGTTTGGTTTGAAGGCCTCCGGGGGGCAGGGGGGGTGCACAAGGTGGGTGAGTTGCCCCCCCCCCCTCTCTCTGGACAATAGCCCTAGCCTCTGTGTTCCAATTCCCTCCCTCCCTTCCTCCTTCGCGGGACGGTCACCCACGCAGGGAACCCAGGAGAGCGAGGCGAGGATGGAGACCGTGGCCCCAGAGGAGCCCCCGGGGACAGGGCAATCAAAGGTACCGCACGGGGTCCCGCACTCCACCGCCTGTCGTTGCAGAGGTTCGCGGTTCGAATCGGGCGGGCCTCCCTGGTTAATACGGCGGGTGTATTAACCATCATGTATGCACTACGTATACGCGCACTGTCGGCTTTCTTGGTGAACGTTGCGCGATCGCTCAGCCGGAGCTGCTCGTGTGTCGATTAAAAGGTGACAAGGGCGACAGGGGGTCGTTGGGCCCGCCGGGCGACAGAGGGCAGAAGGGAGAGACGGGCGACAAGGGCAGCAGCGGCCCCAAGGGCGACCAGGGTCAGCGCGGGGTCGCGGGCCCTCCGGGCGAGCGGGCCAAACCGGCCGATAAGGGAGACAAGGGCGACCGCGGCGCGCAAGGAGAGCGCGGCCCCAAGGCCGAAGCGGGCCCCGAGGGCCGACCTGGCAGCGCGGGCCTCAAGGGGGACAAGGGGGACGCGGGCACGAGCGGCACGAAGGGTTCCAAGGGCGATCGAGGAGACGCGGGGCCGGCGGGGCCGACGGGACCCGCGGGGTCTCAGGGAGCCCCGAGCCCGCCGGGGTCGCGGGGCCCGGCGGGTCCCCAGGGCCTCCCGGGGCCCGCTGGTCCCCCGGGCTACGCGGGGGCCCCCGGGCAGCCCGGCCCGCCGGGCCCGCCGTCGCCGCCGCCGCCGCACAAGACGAAGCCGTCGCTGGAGAGCAACGAGGAGACGGAGGCGTGCGCCAAGGGGCTGTGCGGCGTGGGGCCCTGCGGCGGAGGTCCCTCGGGACCTCGCTCGGCCTTCAGCGCGAGCCTCTCCAAGGCGAACGCGTTCCCGGCGCGCGGCGCGCCCGTCCGGTTCACGCGCGTCCTCTACAACGGCCAGGGCCACTACAGCCCCGAGACGGGCAAGTTCACGTGCGTCGTGCCGGGCGTCTACTCCGTGTCGTACCACTTGACGGTGTGGAAGCGCTCCGTGAAGGTGGCGCTGTGTAAGAACGAGCGGCGCCTCGTGTCGTCGGGCGACGGCTTCGAGGACGGCGACCTCGACCAGGCGTCGCTCTCCACCGTGCTCGAGCTCGAGCGGGGCGACCAGGTGTGGCTCGAGGTGGTCGGCGGCTACAACGGCATCTACGCCGACGACGACGACGACTCCGTCTTCACGGGGCACCTGCTCTTCTCCGACTGCTGAGCGCCGTGCCGTGCGTACCCCCAACCCATCGTGCGCGTCCGACGGTGAGTTTGTTCGTTTTTGTTTTTCCTTCCCTCCTCCTTGCCACGCGGTCGACGATGATGACGGGTGATGATTTGTTTATTTCGTTTGCACCGAATCGGTGCGTTTTGGTGCTCGCGCCGATCTTGGAACGCGCGCACGGCTGTCGCGAAGGGAGGCGAGATGACCGGGGCAGTTTCACAGTTTGGGGGAGGGGAGCAGGAGTGGAGGAGGTGGGGGTGTGTGGTGATGATTGTTGCTATGTGCAATCACACGTGAATAATTGTTAGGGAAGTTGGACAAGCGATGCTGGCTTGCGGTGGCCTAAAAAAAAACACATGTAAACCATTTGTGCAGGAATTGGTGACCGGGCCGATACCATCAACTCACTGCACCCGAGAAGCAGTTCCTTAAATCACAGCAGCTCAGTCTACGTGAGTCCGCACGGGTCTATGTGTGAGTCACCGATGATGGGGCCGGGGTCATCAACTCACTGCACCTGAGAACGCACGCTTTAATCACACTCGGCTGAAAGATTAAACGTTGAACCCGGTGACTCGCTCATCTTCGCAGCAGCAGTAAGCAGCGACTTTCGGCTCAGCCATCGAACAAAGGAGGCGGCCATCGCATCGCGCCCTTTCAGATGCGCTTCTGCGGCCGTCTGGAACGCTCTTCCCTTCCGATACTAGAAAGCCACTGGAGCAACGCACTTTTCAATCACCAAGTTGGAAAACGAATTTCTTTAGGACTGCATGTTTGTTGCGTTCAGTTTGTTGTCCTTCCCCCGCATCTCCGATTAGTACGTTTGGCTACGTACGACGCGCAAGAAGTTCAACGTACATACTTCTCGGAGGCTACTGCCTCCGTATCCCTGACTCGGGACTCGCCGGGTCTCCTCTGCACTATGCAGCTGTAACTTTGGGGTGACGCGCCCTGGCCACGACCGAAAACGCGGCCGTCGCAATCAGCTCCGGCCGGTTTCGGTGAAAAAAGAGGCTCGCACGTGCACGCGCGCACTAAAATATTCCGCTCCGCGGTCAGACGATGATGTTGATGGTTATGATGATGATGACTCCACTCTTGCCATTTCAATATCGTATCGATTTGCGCAAACATCATTTCCCTCGTGCTAATTTCACCCGGGCCTTCCGTGACCCCTCTTTGAAACCTAATCAGTGGGTCGGGGCACTCATATTTTGCATGACTGATGCAATAGAAAATGAGGCGCACGCTAAATCTCGCAAGACGTTTATAGAAAACAATAATTCAATTATGGCCGTCGCGGCTCCCGGCGCGGTGGTCACGCCCGTGCATCGCAGCAACAAATGCCCTGAGTTCGATTCCCAAATGCGGCGACACCTTTTTGTGTAGAGTTTATACGTTCTCCCCGTGTTCTGCGGAGTGTGAGCGAGAGTGGGGAGCGGTGGCTTAGCGGTTAACGCACTGCGCTACGAACCCGGTGGGCCGAGTTCGAGTCCCTCTCACGGCCAACACCAGCGACAATGATCTGAACCGGCCCTCGGCTTCGCCTAGGTCGACTCAGCCTCCAATTAGTATCTGGTGTGGTGTAAACATCGGCAAGAGGGAGACAAAGGCGGCCGAGCGCGGTGTTGGCCATCCACCCCTTTGTGTGCCGTACCGGCCTTCATAGGTGCTACTCGCTAACAGCACTTGCCCAAAAAGTATGTTAAGGCTATACGGGGGATCTTTGTCTTGACTGTGTGAGTGTGTGGGTGAAATTGTTCTCCAGGTTCTCCGGTTTACTCCCATGGCTAAAATATTTTTAAAAAACTCTCAATCAATGTAACAGGAATTGGCCAAAACACCACGTTACTGAAAAATAACTCTGTTGGGATCACACATCAGCAGTAGCTGCAGTGGCTGCAGCAACATTGCTCGCCTACTGCGGAAAACTTGGCAGGACCCTCCTGAATACGAGTCTTGAGACTCGGTGAAACCCTCCTGGGCGAACTAGCTTAGCGATAATTATGATTTACATATTTTGGAAGCGCTTGCATTTTATTTAATTACCCATGTACTCGCTTTCCCCGGCATCTGTTAGTCAATCGCGCCGTCTTCTTCCTCTGAGGAGCAGATTGATGTGGTTTTAGAGCCATGGTTTCAATTGTTGTCTGGCGCAACGGGTAACAATAACGGTCGCTGCGTCGTGCGCTGCGCGGCGATGCCATGTGTCTGGCTGCGTCGGGTGGCGGAGGGGATTTACGACACAAAAATGTGGTCGGATCGTTACGTCGCGGCCGAACACGAAAAAGAGAATGCGTCACGAATCTTAATATTGGCCGCGGATTTTAATGGATTTGGGCCAGACATCCAAATGTAGGATCATGGAGCTTGGGCAATGGTTGTCTCTGGGTCTGGCTGCCTTCCCTCGTGTGTGTTATGAAACGTGTGAATCGCCGTTCTCCCTCTCTCTGAGAGTGAACAAAAAACAAACTGTGGGGCCATAATACAGGGGGTTTTTTTGGGTTAAATCGCGTAAATATTATAAATCGCGTAAATATTATAAATCGCGTAAATATTATAAATCGCGTAAATATTATATTTATGCGATCTAACCCAACAAAAAACCTGTATTATGAATTATATTAGTCACGAAAGCCTCCTACGTGTTAAACAAACTGTTGGGCATTAAACATTCTAAGTTATGAACGTGACCACGTGCTCAGCGTTCTAATTTGAGCGTGTGTTTCTCTTTGCAGGAGACTGTAAGTTCTTGGAGCTGAGTGATTCAAGAGCCGGGCGGGAGCTTCTCCACACGCACGCACGCACACACCCACCCGAGCGGACGCTCCCGACGGTGGTGGGATGTTCACTACCTCGCCCGGTATACAGAGGATCGTGGGTTCGATCGCGATCCTGACTCCTGTAAATTTGGAGTGTGTTTTTGTGCGTGTCTCTCTCGCTCCCCGTGGTCGCGTGGATTTTTTTTTCCGGGTGCTCCGGTTTGTCCCCTTCACATTGAAAATCAACGGCACGCGATTCGAGTATATTGGCTGCGAGAAAATGCCCACGTGATGATAAGCGGCCGTTCATAAGTGACTTTGGACGATTTTTGACCCCCCCCCTCCCCCTCGTCACACGGCGTCACAAAAAGTCAGACCCCCTCAAATATGACGTCACAAAGCTCTGCCCCCCCCGACCATATTTCCATTTTGAAAATAAATCATGCTTCAAATCGCTTTAAACTATTGCCTTTGTAGTGCGTATTTAATGTGGAGCTGCACTCTGATGTTGTAGGAGTGTTGGTATAACAATTCGTGTTGGTATAACAATTGTATATTTATTTAAAGTTGCGCATTTTGATGTGATGTCACATTTTTCAAACCCGCCCCTCGTCACACATCGTCACAAATGTCTGACCCCCCCCCCCCCCCAGGTGCGTGACGTCATTTATGGACGGCCCCGAAGCCACTTCGGCGAGTTGTCATTTGTGATAGCCAGGTCGCGTCTGAAAAAGTTACATAGCTCAGTGGGCCTTCTCACCTGGTAACATCACAAATAAAGTTTAGTTTAGACATCGACAGCTGTGCTGTGCACGTGGGCACCCGAAGGGCTCAGGGCCTCACGGGTGACAGGTCGGTCACGTGACGTGACATTAGGCTCAGTGACGACAGGACCAGTCGGTCACGAGACGTTGAGCTCAGCGACGACGGGACCAGTCGGTCACGTGACGACGGGACCGATCGGTCACGTGACGTTAAGCTCAGTGACGACGAGACGGATCGGTCACGCGACGTCGTTCCAACCGCACGGTTTCCTTGCAACGCGATTGCGCCAATTACACACACACACAGTGTACATTCAACTCGCAGCGCTTGGTCTATGCTCAACCAGTGGATGAAGGAAGGCCTCGCTCATAGCGCTGTGTTACCCGGGGGGCCGCTTGTATGGCTGTAACCTCGGCACGTGGGTCACCGTGGGGGCCGGTAATAGTTTTGTTTTTTTTCTAAATCGGTAATGCTCCACACACACACACAACAAAAAAGGACGAAATCAACAACCCGGGTGGCGAGCCGGCTCCTTCCCCGCCCCCCCCCCCACCGTGATCCCCTCTCTCCAAAGAGTCCGGCGTTGGTTGATCCCAGTCCAAGGGAGCAGATTCTCTCCCCACCACGCACCTCCGATTGATACGGTTGGCTACGTACGGTGCGAAAGAAGTTTAGCATACATACCTACGCACATTTCACAGTAGCAAGGGCCACAACTCTGCGGCTACTTTCACGGCGAGTAGCCGCTTCCGCGATGTCTCCTTCTCGGGCAGCCTCAGCGAGCATCGTGTGTCACTTGCGACGACGTCCGTCCAACGTTTGGCTTACGGAGGAAAGCTGCCGGCGCGCGGGGCGACCGGAGAACGCGTCGGGGGAAATGCCGAGGGGCAGCAGCAGCAGCGGCCGCAGCGGCCGCAGCGGCAATGGCTGCGGCGGTGGTAGCAGCAGCTTGTCGGGGCGGAAAACGCGTTCGGCAAAAAGACGAATTGCCCATGGATAGAATTTGGCGAGATACGATGTCCCACCCTACCATCACGACTACCGCGCACACCACGCGGTGAGACGACGGGACGAATACAAGCGAGGGTACGCCGACACCGCGTTACTGTTTCACCGTTCCGCGTACCGCGTCACCGTGCCGCCGGGGATGGGCAGCTCAAGAAAGTAGTTCGTCGTCGACCGCTCAGAGACCACGTCATAACGGGGCGTTTTCCACGTAACAACGGCACGTGTTATAACGGCGCGCATTATAAAAGACGCGCATTATTAAAGGCGCGTGCATTATAATGGGGGATGCGTTCTGCGCTATAACGGCATCCGTGTTATAACGAGGGGGGAGGGGGGCGCGTTCCGCGTTGTGTGAAAAGTGTTCCCGAAATGGAAGAACGGCGTTGTAACGAAAACGCGACTGCAGCGTGAACACCGCTGCATATTAAGCGAGGGCTCGTGGTGCGATGGTCTTAACAAGCGCTCTGCGCAAAGATTCGAAACGTTTTCTAAGCTCGTACGACCGCTGACAAACTCTATTAATTCTAATCGTTGTGCTTTAATAAAATCGATAAAAACCCTCAGGAGGAAATCTCGCGATGATTATTGTTGTTTTTGTTGTAATCAACGCAACCCCCCATAAATTATTCATATTTATACGATAGATCCCCCCACCCACCCAGCCCCCGCAAAGTGAAATAACTGGGAGCTGTTAATATCAAGCAGAGGTCATTGTTGTGTTGTCCAAGGGCGATTTGCGTCTTGCGAATGATCAAGCGGGACGATGAATCAAGCCGGAGTGGCGCAGGGACCCTGATCGCGCGTCATCGAGGGGGAGGAGGAGGGGGGAGGGAGGAGAGGGTGTAGGAGGAAGTGGGGAGGTGGGAGGACGACGAGGAGGGGGAGGAGAAGGGAAGGAGAGGAGGAGGAGGAAGACGAGAGAGGGAGGATGAAGAGGAGGGGGAGGGAGGATGAAGAGGAGGGGGAGGGAGGATGGTGAGGAGGGGGTGGAGGAGGGGGTGGAGGAGAGAAGGATGAAGAGGAGGGGGAGGGAGGATGAAGAGGAGGGGGAGGGAGGATGGTGAGGAGGGGGTGGAGGAGGGGGTGGAGGAGGGGGTGGAGGAGGGGAGGAGAGAAGGAGGAAGACGAGAGAGGGAGGATGAAGAGGAGGAGATGGGAGGGGGCTGCTGGGTGACCTCCCCCTGCCACCCACGGCTCGTGCCGTGTTCCTGGGGGACGAGTCGCTCGTGCGCACCACAAACGACAATAACAAACGACGACGACGATGAGGCAAATGAATCCCAACCGCGAGCGCGGGCGGGCGGCGGTGCTCGTTTCACTTCGTCCGTGGAGCGCGGCGCACCCGCGACACTCCTCCCGCGTCACTCCTCCCGCGTCACCCCTCCCGCGTCACTCCTCCCGCGTCACTCCTCCCGCGTCATCCCTCCCACGGCACTCCTCCCGCATCACTCCTCCCGCGTCACTCCTCCCGCGTCACTCCTCCCGCGTCACTCCTCCCGCGTCACTCCTCCCGCGTCACTCCTCCCGCGTCACCCCTCCCGCGTCACTCCTCCCGCGTCACTCCTCCCGCGTCACCCCTCCCATGGCACTCCTCCCGCATCACTCCACTCCTCCCGCGTCACTCCTCCCGCGTCATTCCTCCCGCGTCACCCCTCCCGCGTCACTCCTCCCTCGGCACTCCTCCCACGTCACTCCTCCCGCGTCACTCCTCCCGCGTCACTCTTCACGCGTCACCCTTCCCGCGTCACTCCTCCCGCGTCACCCCTCTCGCGTCACCCCTCCCGCGTCACTCCTCCCGCGTCACTCCTCCCGCGTCACTCCTCCCGCGTCACTCCTCCGCGTCACTCCCACCTCCCGCGGCACTCCTCCCGCGTCACTCCTCCTGCGTCACTCCTCCCGCGTCACTCCTCCCACGGCACTCCACTCCTCCCGCGTCACCCCTCCCGCGTCACTCCTCCCGCGTCACTCCTCCCACGGCACTCCACTCCTCCCGCGTCACTCCTCCCGCGTCACTCCTCCCACGGCACTCCACTCCTCCCGCGTCACTCCTCCCGCGTCACTCCTCCCGCGTCACTCCTCCCGCGTCACCCCTCCCGCGTCACTCCTCCCGCGTCACTCCTCCCACGGCACTCCACTCCTCCCGCGTCACTCCTCCCGCGTCACTCCTCCCGCGTCACTCCTCCCACGGCACTCCACTCCTCCCGCGTCACTCCTCCCGCGTCACTCCTCCCACGGCACTCCACTCCTCCCGCGTCACTCCTCCCGCGTCACTCCTCCCGCGTCACTCCTCCCGCGTCACTCCTCCCACGGCTTTCCCTCGGCGCTCCTCACGCGACGCCGCCGCCGCGGCCCCTCGCGCTCCCACCAGCAGCGAGCCCCTGCGGGCTGCGGTCACGTGGGGAGAGCCGATGTCGCACCTCGCAGTCGCTTTGCCATCCAAACTATAAAACTATCTCTAAACTTTGCCCACTGAGCTGCTACGTTACTCTTTTTTTTTTGTCAGAAGCGACCTGGCCACATGTGATGGCTCAGCGAAGTGGCTTATCATCATCGTGTGGAAGTTTATAGCAGCCAAATTACTCTAAACGCGTGACGTTGATTCCAAATGTGGAGGGGGAACCGGAGGACCCTGAGAAAAATCCACGCGACCACGGGGTGAGAAACATTCAAACTCCAAATATATAGCAGCAGGCGTCAGGGTCGGGATCGAACCCACGACCTCCTGCATACCAGGCGAGGTAGTTAACATCTCCTAACCACCGTGATAATGATGCTGATGAGGGAGAGAGAGAGAGACACGCAAACTGCAAATATACAGCAGCAGGCGTCAGGGTCGGGATCGAACCCACGACCTCCTGTATACCAGGCGAGGTAGTTAACATCTCCTAGCCACCGTGATGATGATGCTGATGAGGGAGAGAGAGAGCGACACGCAAACTCCAAATATACAGCAGCAGGCATCAGGGTCGGGATTGAACCCATGACCTCCTGCCTACCAGGCGAGGTAGTTAACATCTCGTAGCTACCGTGCGTAGTGCAGTGGAGTCACCTCGTTTAACACCACCACCCGATTTGACCCTGAAATAATTTAACTGCCGTGTGAAACATTAATCATCATCATCACCACCACGAGCAGCAGCATTATCACCATCTGCCGTGGGCGAACCACGACCGGATGAAGGCCGCCTCCTCCTCCTCCTCCTCATCCCCAAGGCCCTCGCCACCTCTCATCACGATCCCGCGATGGGACAATCCACCGAGCGTCGCATTCTGTCATCGCTCCGTCTCCCTGCTGAACGCCCTCGGGGGCGCGTTGCGTTCCTCGGCAGCCGCTTTGCGCTACGGCAACCTCTGAATGGACTCTGCGTGGCATTTCGTCTTTAATGTGGCCCATTTAATATGAAATCTTTCAACTTTTAATGCTCCCAGAAATAAAGGAGAGAAGGGGGAAAAACCCCCCTCGGGGGTTTAGAGGGACAGGTACCGTCATGAAACAACGAGCGGCCTGGCATTGCACCCCGACCACTCGTTGACCACCACGTACTCGCGTGGGTGAGTGGGGTGGGTGGCTGAGTCTGTGGG